CCAACACGTTTCAGGGCGGTGGAGACGGGCGGCACTTAGCAGCTGCCAGTGAGCCTTCCTGGGTGCCCACGGGCAGCACCCAGGTACCCGCAGGAGCTGGTGAGGTTAGGTCTGGGCTCCGCGGCAGGCAGGAGTGACATCTGAGGACGGCCCCTTTGGTAGACAGATCTCAACGTGACCCCGGTGATTTCCTGACCCCCACAGATATTCACGCCCTCTGCAGTCAGTCCCTTCCCCTTGAGCGACTTGCTTTTCTAACCAATCGAATACGGCCACCCTCTGTCTGAGCAGACTCGAGGGAGGGAGTCGTTGTGGGCCAGGTGACACCAGCAGCCGTTCTGAGGAAGCACGAGTGGCGAGGGACAGCGGGCGGCCTCCGGCACAGCCAGCCAGAAGCTGGGACCCCTGGCCACCCGGCCACGAGGGCATAAACCCTGCCAGCACCCCGGTGCGCCCGGAAGCAGAGGTGTTTCCCCAGCTGGCCCTCGGGCACAGTGGGTGGCACCGCCGGGGCAGCTGTTGGAGGCCCGGAGCAGAGGGCCCGCTCAGCCAGACTCCTAACCCCGGGGACTGAAATAACAAGCGTGTGTTGCTTTTAGCTGCCGAGCACAGAAAACTAACACGCTCCCAAAGCTTCCCGCAGCTCTCAGCTGAGCAGGTCCGCCCAGCCCGCCCCTGCAGGAGACGGCAGGCCTCAGGCTCGGCCGCAGAGGCAGGGACAAGTGTGGGGCTGAAAGGGGGGCTTGAGTGACCGCAGACTCCCGACCCTCCCCTCCCCTGCTCCCAGGATGCCAAAATCGGAGCACGTGACCCCCAGGCCGAACATCGGAGGGGTCTTCCCCGGAGCCCAGCGGCACCGCTTCTGGAGGATTCCCGGCGACCCCCTGCCTCGGGCCGCACAGGCCGCGAGCCTCCCTGCGGCGGAAGGAGACAGTGGGTGTAACTTGTCGCACTTTCCAAAAACGTGAAGAGTCACCCTGCGGCCCCACGGTTGCTCTTGTCCCTCTGCCGCCAGGAGAGCGCGTCCCGGGGGCGGGGGGGCAGCTCCTTCGGCGTGCGGCCCGGGATGAGAAGGACGCGGGGCAGAGCGCAGCGCCCTGCAGGCGCCGTGTAACGGGAAGGAGACATACCGCTTGCATGCCCCCGAGGTTCGGGGCGGCTTGTTACCGCGCATGCCTTCGTGAGGCTGACGGATACACCCCACGGAGCTGTCCGGCTGGGAGGGGAGGGGGGCGCGGTGAGGCCCGGCCTGCGGGGGCTGGGAACCGGCGCTGGGAGGCCGCCGGCGCAGCGCCGGGCAGGCTCGGAGCCGGGCGGGAAGACGGCTGTGAGCTCCCCCCCGCTGCACAGCCCCACACGTGTATCTCGCAGTCCCTGTGGTTGGCAGTCCGGGCGTCACCCGGGTGGGCCCTCTCTGAGGGTCTCCCAAGGCCGCGCTCGCGGGCCTGCTGGGACCCGCACCCTCCCTGGGGCCCAACTGTGGGAGGTCAACTTCCAAGACTCCTGACGCTAATGCTGCTGCAGTTCAGCGCCTTGCTGCGCAGAACCGAGGCCTTCCTCGTCTTGCGGACTGTGACCAGAGGCCGCCCCCAGCGTGCGGAGGCCACATGGGCCTCCTGCCTCCTGCCAGGTGGCCATCTCCACGCGGGCTGCCCACTCGGGGCGGCCGGCTTCTCCGGAGGCAGGGAGGGAGCTGGGGTCTCCGGCCAGACGGGCACCGTGACCTCCCTCACCTCGTGGAGTGGACCCTTGGCCGAGTTCTACGGGTGGAGCGAGTCACACTCAGGTCACGCCCCCCCTCGAGGGGAGGGGCTCCCCACAGGTGGGAATGCCAGGTGGGGGCGTCCCGGGACACCTTTTCCTACTGAGACGTCGCTGACGTCTGAGTTGAGCTTCAGGCGCCCGGCATCCGCAGCCGGTAGCGGAGCCCGCTGCGAATGAGCATCACAGTGAGTCCAGTCAGTGCCCACAGCCCTTTTTTGCCTTGTGATGACAGGAGCCATTCTTTGTTTCCTTTGCTTTTTAAAGATTTTATTTATTTATTTTTAGAGAATGAAGGGAGGGAGAAAGAGAGAGAGAAACATTAATGTTGCTGGGGGCCATGGCCTGCAACCCAGACATGTGCCCTGACTGGGAATCGAACTTGCGACACTTTGGTTTGCAGCCCAAGCTCAATCTGCTGAGCTACGCCAGCCAGGGCTTCTTTGCTTTTTTAAAGATTTTATTTATTTACTTTTAAGGAGAGGGGAAGGGAGAGAGAAAGGGGGAGAGAGACAGTGCTGTGTGAGAGCAGCACCGATCGGCCGCCTCCCGCACACGCCCCACGGGGGCCCCGACCTGCGACCCAGGCGTGTACCGGGCCTGGGGATGGAACCGGCGTCCCTTTGCTTCCTCCGACCACGCCCAGCCCACCGAGCCCCGCGGGTCAGAGCCGGAGCCGTCCCCGAAGCAGCCCAACCGGAGGTAATAATTAACTCCATGAACAACCAGAAGGGAGGCCGAGCTACCCGGTTCCAGCGCCTGGCGCCGCAGCAAACAGTGCCTGCAGGATCATCCTGATGGACAACGGAATGTCGGTTTAACCAAAAACTGTTACCTGTCGGCAGGGGCAGCAAGAGGGTGACAGGAAGATGGTTGTTGCAGGGAGGGCTGTGAGAAAGCTCAGCTCACATCGACCCCAGGAGGGAGTTCACAGACAGTGGCTCCGTTGGTAAGGCTGCAGCACCACCACGTTGTTCATGAGCTCGGAGACAGCACCCAGAAGAAGGCAAAATGTGTTCCCCACTGGGGACGGGCGGGGGTGGGGGTGGGGGCAGGCAGGCCGGAGGGGCTGCTGCTTTTCCTTCTAGGCCTATTTTGGTTTTTTAGGCCTATTTATCGTTTAAAATGCTGTGCCTATCAGGTGGGTATCCTTTAAACTATTGCCTGACTTGGATAAAAATACACATTAATTAATGGAGGAAAAATAAAGGGGGAGGAGAACCATGCTCCGGAGTGACAAGAAGTCCCCAGGGCTCCGGAACCTCCCAGCTTCCCCCTCGGGGGAGGGGCTGGGGGAGTTGGGAGGGGTGGTAGCCGCCGGGATCACCCCGAAGGCACGTACTCGGGGGAATACGGTCAGAGAGCTTCCGCAGGGAGAATACGGTACCTGCGTGGGGGCTGCGACGCCGGCCGGCGCTCTGGAGCTGCAGAGTTTGGGGGGCTGGCGGCCTGGGAGCAGGCCGGGCCCCTCCCGCAGGGTGGGGCGGGGCCGCAGGCCCAGCGGGAGGTGCCCCCCCCTTCCGCCCCCGCTCCCGCCTGAGAGTCCCCTTCTCCGCAGGCCTTTTTGGGAAGACTTTGAAGGCTCCGATCAGGGCTTTTGTTTTAGTTCAGTCGGTCTTGGAGAATCTGTTTTCATTAAGTAAGGACGGACGGCTCTGGGAAAGCCGTCGGGAAGCACGAGGTGTCTTGGAAAAGCCCCGCCCAGCAGTGACGACGAGTGTTGGGTCCCCTGGTTTCCCAGGTGCCCTTCCAGTGCCTGTGGATGTCGGTCTGTCTGTCTCTCTCTCGCCCCGCCCTCTCTTTCTAAGACACACGTGGCCTCTCTGCGCGCCCAACCCACCGGCCCTGCCCCGCTTTCTTCCCGCAGCCGCCAGTCCAGCCAGTCTGGGGCTCTTACCACGTCATGCCACCGGGGGACCCAGGCAGGGACGCCTTACTCCCCCTCCAGGCCTCTGTGCGGACAGACCCCCACTGGGGCAGGCAGGCCGGGGCGGGGGTGGGGGGATGTTCAGGTGCAGGGCCTTGCTTCCACTACCCAGCCGCAGGTGCACCCCTCCACACACGGAGCCAGGCTCTCTTTGGCCCCCCCTCTGGGGGACGCACCTGCCCTGGGGGTCTGGGGACGCTTGTCCTAGGCCGGAGGCCCAGGCCCAGTGGCCGTGCAGCCTGAACCTGTGAGGAGGGTTTGGTGGAAAGGAATGGGGAGACAAGAATGGTGGGGGGTGGGGGAGGAAGGGGCTTCTGGGAGGGCCTGGGGCCTGGCGACACCAAGGACACACTCAGCCACCGGGGGTGGGGGGGTGGGGGGGGTGGGTGTCAGAATGCTGGGCTGAGCGGCCCCTCCCTGTGGCCCCCGCCCCTCCCTCCCTGTGGCCCCGGCCCCTCCCTGTGGCCCTGGCCCCTGTGCGGCAGTGCTGGCGCACCTGGCCTCCAAGCCTCAGCTCCCTTCACCAAATACGGGGCCCAGCAGCCCCCTCCTTGAAGGGTCATGGCTGCCAACCCGCACCCTGCCTGATTCCTGCCCCACGAGCCTGGGCACCTCCAGCCAACTTGCCCCTCTCTTCCTCCTGGGGAGGCTTCGGCCAAGTCCCACTGGCTGTTCTGCAGGGGACCCCGACGTGGGCACAGGTGTGCTTCCAGAGAGTGTCCAAGCCCGAGGCCCTGGCGGGGTCTGGGCTTCTTCCTGGAGCCTGCTCAGCTCCGCAGTTGCGGCTCAGCACCTAACAAGAGAGAAGTTCTGACCATGGGGACGGGGGTCCTCCGGGCCTGGCCCCAGAGACAGGGTGGGATCAGAGAGCCTGTGGAGGTGCCAGCAGACACCCACCCTGGGCTCACCCCTGGCCCCCGGCTCTGGGGGAGGGCAGACGTCTCTTTCTAGGCACAAAGCACCCTCCCCCTCCCCCTCCCCCTCGGAGCCAGAGCAGGACCTGCTGAGCTCTCACGCAGCCCCCCGGGGCGTCCTGGGCCATCCAGGGTGCCCAGCCTTCCAGAGCACACCACTGAGGGGACAGCTCTGGTCTGTCCCGAACCCTGGATGCGAGTTCAGGGGCAGAAAGGAGACACCCCCTGGTGGCATGGAGCGCCCCCCTGCACAGCGGGAGGGCTTAGTTGTTCTTCGTTCATTCCTTAAAATTATTCGTAAGTTTGTTCATATTTGCCCCACATGGAAACAGCCCCATTACCCAGCCACCGCCAACAGGTAAACAAACGTGGTGTGTTTGTGCAAAGGAATGCTGCTTTGCTGTGAAAACAAAGGAATTACTAACTACACCCTCCCCCACCTGAGGACGAGTTCCACAGACACTCCAGCGCGGGGAAGAGCCCTCACACAGGAACACCTGCCACGAGCAGTCGTGCATCAGGCAGCTCAGCCCAGGTGACAGAGAATGGACCAGCGGTTGCGGGGGGCCGCGGGGGCTGGTGGGGGAGGGGCACGCTGGAACAGTCCTGGGTGCGGGGGACGTTCTCTATCGTGACCGGCGCGTACATTGGTCAAAACTCAGGGCACTAGATACTCTAAAGTGGGTGTGTTGCACGATAGGACAATTGGGCCTAAAAGAAAAAAATATGGGCATTTCCATACATTGGCTTTAGGACCCACTGAGGAATCGGTGGCCCGCAGCGTGGCCGGGCTGACGCTGGCGGAGGGGCAGAAAACGTGGACGTGCGCCGCCGCCGTGCTGGGGTGCGCAGGAGGTCGCTCTGGGAACGTGAGCCTGCGGCGGTGATGAGACGGGTTGCGCAGGTAGGGGCCCGCGGTGGGCAGGCCCCGATGCCCTCCACCTGCACGGCACCCCAAGTGCCTCTGGGGGCAGGTCTTGTGTTCTGTGATGGACCCCGGGGCCTGACACGGACTGCTTTTTACAAGTTAAACTCCATTTTATTTTATTATTCTTATTTTTTCAAAATATAAGAGAAAGTTGATTCTGCCCTGGCTGGTGTGACTCAGTGGATTGGGCAATGGCCTGCGAACCTAAAGGACTCCGGTTTGATTCCCAGTGAGGGCATGTACCTGGGTTGCAGGCCAGGTCCCCTGTGTGGGGCATGTGACAGGCAACCTAAAGAGAGAGAGAGAGAAAGAGAGAGAAAGGGAGGGAGGGAGGGAGGCAAAGGGAAGGAAGAAAGGTAAGGAAGGAAGGAAGAAAGAAAGAGAGAGGAAGGAAGGAAGGAAGGAAGGAAGAAAGGCAGGCTCAGGAAAACAGTTACAGGAATTCTGTGGGCGCCCGGGAGAAGAAGTAGTTGAGGCAGTGTTCCCAAGAGGGAGAGCCTTTCATTATATTATTTTACACATATTGTTACTTTGTACTAGTGTCAGGTGTACAGCACAGTGATTAGACAACCATGTGCTTTACAAAGCGTTCCCTTCTTGTTTCCACTGCCAAGCCGAGCCGGCCCCCGCATGGTGATTACAATATTACAATATTTCCTGTGCTGGACTTAACATATAGTGCTTTTTTTCCCTAAATGAATGAACGAGAGAACAATGACTGCTGAGAATGAGGGAGGGTAGTGTCGGGGGAGGCTGAGGCTGGGCTGGGGTCACGGCGAGAGGCTCAAGGCCACCAGGAGCCCACTGGCTTTACCCTCCGGGCACTGCGGAGCTGCTCCTCACTGGGCCTGGTGGAATCCAGCTGAACTGGAACCGCTCTGGGCAGTCACTTGTCCCTTCCCATCCAATCACTGTGCTCAGAAATGCCTCATACCGATTGGCTGAGGCCTGGTTCCTGATTAGTTCTCCGAGGACCCGCCCACCCTGGAGCTGAGGACACTGCCAGCCTCCCCTGTGCAGCTGCAAGCTCCTGGGCCTGTTGCACCTGGAGGGCAGTGGTCATTGTGAATGGCTGTGAGGGCCTCCACATGCAGAAAGCAGAGAGAAGCAAATAAAACTCTCCATTTAGCTCTGCGGGCTGCCTGACATGCACCGGCCCTTGCCGGGCCTGACACTGGATCCACAGCTTTGCTTTCCGGTTGGGCATGATGGACCCCCGCTGTACCCACAGAATTGCCACGCAGTGTTTGTATAAGCCACTTTCCCACCAGCTTCTCATGACCAGCGCTGGCCCGGGGGTGGAGGGGATCTGCCAGGCCCCCCGCCCCCAGTTTGGAACCCTGTGTGCTCACATGCTCACCTGCTCTTCTGTGCCCAGCCCCCTCCTGATGGAGACCCTGCCGGCCAGCAGCCCCTCCCTGCTCCCCACGTCCAGCTGGGCCCCATCTTCTCTCTCCCAAGGTCCCCTCTCCAGAAATAACAGTGACAATGATCGCTACTGTGCCATGCACAGCCTTCAGCTTCGGCACACGGTAACTCACTTAACCCCCTACGGCAGTGGAGTCTGGTACGGCCATCCCGTCCGCACGTGAGGACACACGGGGCAGACAGAGTGAAGTCTCCCCATCGGCGGGGCCCCCACATGGCAGGACTGAATTCACGCCTCGACTCGCGTGTGTTTCCAGGTTGTGCTCCAACCACAGGGCACCAGCCACCTACCATCAATTCGCCACCCAGCCAATGAGTGTCTTTTTTTTTTTTAAAAAGGTTTTATTTATTTGTCTTTAGAGAGAGGGGAAGGCAGGGAGAAAGAGAGGGAGAGAAACATTGATGTGTGAGAGACATTGATCGGTTGCCTCTCACACGCCCCCACCTGGGGACCTGGCCCACAACCCAGACATGGGTCCTGACTGGGAATCGAACTGGCGACCTTTCGGTTTGCAGGCCAGCGCTCAATCTACTGAGCCACGCCAACCAGGGCCAGTGAGGGTCTCGATGGCCCCATCTGACCACAGCAGTCTGCTGAGAACCCTCCCTTGGTTAGAAACACCACGTGACCCAGCAATTCCACTCCCAGACCCTGAGAACTGAAAGCAGGAAGATGCGGACAGAGGTGTGCATACCCGGGTTTCGAGCAGCATCATCATTCACCAGAGCCAAGAGGTGGAGAGGCCCGAATGCCCGTGGACAGTTGGATGCATAAACACACATACCCACACAGTGGGACGTGCGCAGCCTTGAAAAGGAGGCGAGCTGACAGCCGCTACAGCACGGATGGACGCTTGAGGACGTCATGCTACGTGAAATATCCAAGCACGAGAGGACACACACTGCATGATCCTTCTTGTGTGAGGTCCCTAGGGTGGTCAGATTCTCAGGGAGAGAAAGCAGAGGGTGGCTGCCAGGGGCCGGGGTGGGGGTGGGGCGGGGGGGCCATGTCGTGTTTCCTGCGGACAGAGGTATAGTTTGCAAGATGAAGAGAGCTCCGTGGATAGGTGGCGGTGACGGTCACACCACAGCGTGTACTACTTAGTGACACTGGACTGTCCCCTTAAAGTGGTAAATTTTATGTATGTTTTTGCCACAACTTAAAAAATATTTAAGAAGCCCTCCCTTGGCTCTGCATTGCCCTCTCACTGCAGGCTCAGCCACAGAGTTTGGGCGCGGGGTGGGGGGGCAGTGTACACTGAAACTCTGGAACCCCTTGTTCAAAAGTTACGAGTTTCAAGATGCAGCAGCACAGCACTGACCCAGAGCGGTCTGCTCTGAGCGCAGGGCCCCAGGGGCTCGCACAGGGCGCTGCCCCAGCGGCAGCTGCATGCCGGGCCCCGGGTGCCTTTGCGGGGTCCTCCTGTGACAGGAATTTCACCCTGGGGAGGGCCCCCAAGACGTCTGGCCTCTGGGACTCGGACTACGCCGTTCTCTCGGCGTGAAATGCCCTTCCGGGCAGCTTCCTACGCGCTCAGATCCCGGCTCGCCCACTTCCCTGAATCCCGCGTGGGGGAGGCAGGGGAGGCTGCGCCTGGGTGGGGCGCGCGCCGCCCGGGCCTGCCCGACGACTGAAGCAACCGGGCTCGTCACCACGTTTGATTCAGAATGATGAAAGTCGCCGCCGCTACCCAGTACTCAGCCTTGTCCCAAGGCTCCCCTGACCTTCCCGCATCACGTGAAATGGCACCCATGTGACATCATCAGGACAGAAAAGCCGGGGGCTGCCCAAGGACACTCAGCCAGCGGGCATGTGGGGGCCCGCGGGGGCTAGGAATGAAGTGGGGGGGTGCGGGGAAGGGCGGCCGACTGGGCTTCCGGGGCCCGCCCTCACCTCCCAAGGGGAAAAATCGGGGTCTCTGCTTCCAGCACGATTGGAGAGCTTTTCCTGTAGGGGGTTCCCATTTGCCTGGTGCAGAAACTGAGGCCCGGCCTGGGGTGGCCGAGGATCTCTCACAAGGACGCCCCGCGCTCTGGGGCGGCGCCGAGACCGCTGCCCACCTCGCCTGTTCCCCACCCGGGCCAGGTCCCCGCTGCCCACGTGGAGGAGAAATCCCGTCGGCGGAGGGAGGAGGCGGCGGCCCAGAGCCGCCGAGAACCGTAGTCATGGTGACCGCGAGACAAAGAACAGGCCGCGTGCGCAGGGCCAGGCGGCGGGAGGAGGGGCGCGGGAGCGCGCGGAGACCCTGCTGGACGCCTAGTGGTCTGGCTGCGCGCAGGCCTGGCCTTCGGGTGGCCTTGGGCTAGTCACAGTCTCTCTGGGCCTCAGTTTCCGAATGTGGGCAAACAGTGCAGGGTCCCAACAGCCCCCTGGGTTCTCTCGCTGGGTTTGGCTGTTCTTTTCTTTCGTCTCTTCCTTCGGCAAAAATAAATCGGGAATGTCCTTGCAAGGGGGGTCTGGGGCATTCGTGCGGAGCTGGGCGGGGCCTAGGCTTCTCCCTCCGCCACTAGGAGGAGGAGACTGAGGCCTGACAGGGGGAGGGGAGGGCCACCTGGCACTGTGGAGAACCTGGACACCCCTCCCAGCTCGGGGCCAGGCCCTGGGGGGCAGGGGAGTGACACAGGGGATTCCCCCCTCGATCTGGCCCTCTCTCAGCACCGGCCACAGCCCAAGGGCCCTGACGGGACCAGTCACTGTTTACCTGGTGGCAGAGGCTGACGTCACTCCACCTGCAAGACACTCGTGCCCTCCTGGCGGGTAGGCAAGGACCTTCCTGCCCTTCTCTTCCCTCCCCCCCCCCCCCTTATTCTGCAGTCACAGGCTGGGACACTAGTCATCCCCTTTATCTCAAGATGGGCCTCCATCACCCGTCCTGTGAAAAGAGGGCGAGCGGAGATTCGGAGTCCAGCAGGTCGCATGGTCCTAGGCTCCCCAAGGCCTGTTCTCGGCACGGGCACTGCTCTGAGCTGCTCTGGCCCCCGGGCACCTGAGGAGTGTCCGCCGTGGCGGGTGGTTTCCTTCCACGCCCAGCTCCCTTTGGCTGGACTCTAAGCCAGGGGCCAGTGAGGGTCAGGCCTCATCCCTGCCCCTGTCCTCCAGGACACACAGACCCAGGATCAAGCAGGGCAGGGCAGGCCAGGTACGGCGTCAGCAGGCTCCCTAGCACCTTTGGGCCCTGGGCTCGATGTCCTCACCCCATATTCCAGTGTGCACCCAGTTCCCACTGGCGTCCCGGTGATTCTGACCAGTGGGGGTGGGGACGGAGTGGAGAGGGCATTCCTAATGGGGCAGGGGTATGGTCCAAGAGGTCCAGCCAGCCCCACTGGTGCAGCCCACCCTTAGCAGGCACACGGGCTCAGTGAGGGCCCCAGGACCCCCTGCCAGGTGTGATGTCCTCCGTTTCTCCCCGGGTACAGGACCTGGCTGACTGTCCTGCACATGGTGCAGGCCAGCCGAGTCAGGCCGCGAGCGTCCCAGCCCTGCACACCCTCTCCCCTGACGTCCTAGGCCTCCCGGATCCTGGCCCTGGGCCTGCCGTCCCCTTCTCCTCACACCCTGGCCCCTGAGCCTGTCCGTGATGCCGTGGGAGCCCCCATGCACCCTGGCACTCCTGCCCAGCCCGGGGGGCAGGGGGCTTGGGGGCCTTTGGCAGCAGCTGCAGCAGGGAACAGCAGCCAGCCAATCAAGGAGCTGTAGGGTGAGTATGGGAGGCAAGGAGGGCCACACCGGTGGGGGGATGGCAGGGAGTTCAGAGTGCCTCCGCCCGTTCTCCCTGGGGTGGGGGTTCCCTTCCAGATGGGGGGCAGTCCTGGGCCCCAAGCCCTGCCCCACCACGAAGGCCGACCTCCCTGCACATGTGCAGACCGACATCTCCTGGTGCTTTGGTCCCAGCGGCTACAGGGAAGATCTCATCTTGGATTCGCTTCTGTGGGGGCTCAGGGAATGCCCACATCGTGGGCCTGCCCACCGCACTCACAGTGTAATGGAGGGAACAGCTCAGGTCACCTGGGCTCCGGGGGTCCGGGGAAGTGGCTCTGTGATGGAGGGTGCCCTCCAGCTGAGCCTAAAAACTAGAGCAAGATAGAAGGAGCAGGAATAATCATCATCCTGAGATGCCAAGGTTGTGGGTTTGATCCCCAGTCAGGGCTCATACAAGAATCAACCAGTGAATGCATCAGTAAGTGGAACAACAAATTGACGTTTCTCTCTCTCCCCCTTCCTCTCCCTCAAAAAAAGAAAGAAGGAGAAAGAATGTGGAAGACACACACTTGCCCAATTCCAGTGCAGTAACAATTGCTAACTAAGCATCAAATACAGCTGTGAGTTTCCTGGTAGGCAAGGCAAAAAGGGAATGAGGACGGGCTGTTGGAACGCCACTCTGCTCAGGGCGAGCCTATCAGGCAGTTAGGATGGGAATTCTATTTGGGGACTCAGCTTCCCTTGCACAGCAGCTGCTAGGAAGCCACAGCTGTCCTCGGTGGGGGAGGGGGACAGGTGAGGTGTAGGGGGATGCTTGTGCCCTCACTCAGGAGCTCTCCAGGCCGTGGGACATCCCCCCCAAGAGTCAGAGTCCGCATTCGCACCCTGGGGTGGGGTGGCCAGTCCAGCTGCCCACTGGCTGTGAGATCTGGGCAAGTCGCTTTCTCTCTCTGAGTTCTGTCGTACAGGCTGGGCCAGGGTATGTGACAGTGCCAAACAACCTACAGATTTTTTTAAAGATTTTATTTATTTATTTTTAGAGAGGGAAGGGAGGGAGAAAGAGGGAGAGAGAGAAAACATCAATGTGCAGTTGCTGGGGGCCATGGCCTGCAACCTAGGCATGTGCCCTGACTGGAAATCAAACCTGCGACACTTTGGTTCGCAGCCCGTGCTCAATCCACTGAGTTACGCCAGCCAGGGCTAACCTACAGATATTTTTGCTTAACAGCTTTATTGGGTAATGATACTTCACGTATCATTAAATCGACCCATTTGCAATGTGCGCCTACGTCCGTGGGTCAGAGCGCTGGCGGCAGGTTGGATCCCCCGTCAGGGCGCACAGAGGAACCCAACAGTGACCGCATCAGCGAGTGGAACAGCAGATGGATGTCTGACTGTCTGTCTCTCCCTTTCCCTCTCTCAAAGGAAGTAATTTAAAAAAGTGCAACTCAGTGGCCGCCAGTCTGGTCGCAGAGTTGTGTCACCATCTGGAGTGTAAACATTCTCATCATCCCAAAAGAAACCTTGCACCCATTAGAAATCCTGTTTTCCCACTCCCCTCAGCCCCGGGCAACCACCGACCTTTCTGCCTCTATAGATTTGTCTGCTCTGGATACCTCCTATGAATGGAATGACAGCACGTGGCTGTTCGTGAGTAATTCCTCTCGCTGAGCCCAGTGTCTGAAAGGTTCATCCACGTTGTCCTTCCTTTCTTTTAGTGGCGGAATGGCGCTGCGCCGTGTGGCCGGACCACGCCTCGCTCACCGTTCTGCGGGGGAGGGACACGGGGCGTGCCTACTTTTCGGCCATCGTGAAGGACCCCGGGCGTGTTCTGAGACGCGGGGTTTCTGGGCCACGCGGCCGCTGCACGTTTAGCTTCCGGAGGAGCTGCCATGCCAGGCTGTTTACCAAGCGGCCGCAGCAGTGTTCGCGCCCCCAGCGGCGTGCAAGGGGTCCAGCGTCCCCGCTCTCTTGTCAACACTGGTGATCGTCTGTCTTTTCGGTGATGGCCGTCTTACTGCCCTGGCGTCTCCCTGGGGTTTGGACTTGCGTTTCCTGGTCACGATGGACGGTGAGCATCTTTTCATATATGTACACCAGCTGTTTGCATATCTTTGGAGAAATAGCCATTCAAGTCCTCTGCCTATTAAAAAAAATAGACTTTGTTTTTCAGAACAGTTTTAGGTTCCGCACCAAGTTCAGTGGCAGGTGGAGTTGCCCAATACACCCACCTCCCATTCGTTCAATGGCGCAGCGC